CGAATCGGCTAGCGAATCGGCTGGAGAATCGGCTAGAGAATCGGCTAGAGAATCGGCTAGAGAAAGAGAGGCTTGTGGGTGCGCGGTGATGAGAATTTGACAAGTTATGTAAATCCAATATTGATAAACAGATGTGAATCATGGACAGTTAGTAAATTAGTGAAAACTTATTTGAAAGCTGCGGAGATGGGGTTTTATAGACGAATTATGGGAATACGCTGGACAGATAAAACAGAGCAATGAAGACGTCTCAAAAGAAGCTGACCCACAATGAGAACTGATTGCCCACATCAGAAAGAGATAATCTACATTCTTTGGTCATGTGATGAGAAGATAAAAACTGGAGTACTTTGTGACGGTAGGAAAGTTGGAGTGAAAGAGAGGCAAAGGGAGACCGAGAGAGAATTGCTGGACAATCTGACATCACTCTATGGAAGATCATCTGTGTCCGAGTTGATTTAAAGTACATAATAAGTCAGAAGATTGCAGACAGACATGGCTAATAACGCCACACGGCATGAACTTTGGGATGAAGAAGATAAAGGATAAGTGACGTGAGCGACGTTCTGTAAAGGACCTGCTGAGTGATGATCCATGGCCTTGAAGTCTGGTGTCTCCAGTAGGGTCTGAGAATGGGCGTTCTGGTCCTCATGAGGAATTGTTACATTTTAAACACACTCAGTCCGACTGAAGAAAGCCAAACAAGTTTTTGTTTTGTTTTGGCCAAATGGCACCAGTTTTGAAATGAAAGCATGTGAATATGAACACTAAAAGAACACTGTTCATCCCAGTATTCTTACTAACGCTATGCTATCAGTGTCAAACATGTCACGACTGAAAGAAAATGTTCACGAACTATGATAGCTGTAACGAGGAAAGATCGACTTAGGAACAATTATATCATGAGGAGAGTCAGCACAGAACCAGTACTGAACTTTAAAGGTAGACAACAAATGGTTTGTCCATGTAACAAGATTGGCATCAGACAGGACACCACAGTGGTAGCAGACCCAAAGGTCGACCACGCAGAAGTAGACTGCGGAAATATCATAAATTCTAAAAAGTAGCCTATAGAAAGCGAACAGAAGGGCCCGTTCTAGAGATCTCTTTCTGCCCTGACATTCCAGGAGTAGGGATAAAAAAGGATTTTTTTAAAAAGTGCGACTGAAAGATATTTTATCATCATCATCATCTCTATGTCATCACCATCATAATCATCATCACCATCATAATCATCATCATCATCATTACTGCCATCATCCTCCTTCTCCTGCTGCTCATCGTCATCATCGGCGAATCAAAAAGTGTTATTACGATAACATCAAGCACACAAGAGAACCGCATAAACATCAGGCAGTGCACTGTCGATTGCCTGCTGGTCCCGAAGGTCTGGATTCGAATCTGTGATAAAATTTTTGGTAATGACGTAGAACTCTCGGTTAAACCCATGCCTACCAGGGTTCGGACACCATATGCCTAAATAAGGAACATTTCTTCCTCTTATGTTTCTTCTTCTTCTTCTGCTGCTGCTACTGCTGCTGCTATTGCTGCTGCTACTGCTGCTTTTGTTTCTTCTGCGCTGCGTTTTCTTGTGGTTGTTGTTGGTGTTGTTGTTGTTGTTCATCTTCTTCTTCTTCTTCTTCTTCTTCTTCTTCTTCTTCTTCTTCTTCTTCTTCTTCTTCTTCTCTTCTTCTTCTTCTTCTTCTTCTTCTTTGGGGAACATGTATATTTTGACACTGATAATGATGGATCTAAATGATGCTCTCAGATGCTGCTGTTTGCATGAATCCACAGATGCACATTGTCCATTTTAACACCATGTATGAGAATCTTCCGGCAGCCTTGAATCAGCGGACAGGTGTTTCCGTGATGGCCTTTATGTTTGAGGTGCTCTCCCTTCCCTTCTCTCCTCTTCTCTTCTCCACTCTCTTACCACCCTGCCTTTATTATCCTCGCACTCCATTGCTTTATGTAGCCCACCTGTCACTCTTATCCTTCCCACTCCCATCCTCCCTTGTCTCTATCATGCTATACATCCCTTACACAAATTCTCTCCTTCTCTATCTCTGTCACACACTCTCTTTGTCTCTCTATTTATGTCACACTCACACACATACACACACACACTCTCCCTCTATATCTGTCTCACTCACACACACTCTCTCTCCCTCTATCTCTTTCACACACACACACACACACATACACACTCTCTCTCTCTCTGTCCCTCTCTCACTGTTGTCTATGTTCATGTCTCTTACTGTCATAGTTGTCTAGTGGTTGATGCTAATGCCACATAGTTTGTGCTTTTGTTCTCTTTGGGGTGATCAGCCACCCACCTGATGATGATTGATACGCCCGGGTCAAACTAGGAGCAATGAAGATTCGCTCGAAATGAAACCAAATATCTATAGTAGCGACAGTTTGGATGAAGATTCGCTCGAAATGAAACCAAATATCTATAGTAGCGACAGTTTGGATGAAGATTCGCTCGAAATGAAACCAAATATCTATAGTAGCGACAGTTTGGATGAAGATTCGCTCGAAATGAAACCAAATATCTATAGTAGCGACAGTTTGGATGAAGATTCGCTCGAAATGAAACCAAATATCTATAGTAGCGACAGTTTGGATGAAGATTCGCTCGAAATGAAACCAAATATCTATAGTAGCGACAGTTTGGATGAAGATTCGTGTCTCTTCCACACTCCTACCCTCACTCCCCCTCACTAATACATACACAACAATAGATAGATGAATAGACAGATTGACTCAGTGAATAGATAGACAGGTACATCGACAGACTGATATATGGATAGATAGGTGGATGGATCGATGGATGAACGAACGGACACAGACAGACGGACGGGCGGACGGACCGATGGATGGATGGATGCATGCATGCATGCATGGATAGACAGATGGATGGATGATGGATAGGTAGATGGATGGATGATGGATAGATAGATGGGATAAATAGATAGATAGATAGATAGATAGATAGATAGATAGATAGATAGATAGATAGATAGATAGATAGATAGATAGATAGATAGATAGATAGATAGATAGATAGATAGATAGATAGATAGATAGATAGATAGATAGATAGATAGATAGATAGATAGATAGATAGATAGATAGATAGATAGATAGATAGATAGATAGATAGATAGATAGATAGATAGATAGATAGATAGATAGATAGATAGATAGATAGGTAGGTAGGTAGGTAGGTAGGTAGGTAGGTAGGTAGGTAGGTAGGTAGATAGGTAGATAGGTAGATAGATAGATAGATAGATAGATAGATAGATAGATAGATAGATAGATAGATAGATAGATAGATAGATAGATAGATAGATAGATAGATAGATAGATAGATAGACATAATGAATGCAGAGAAACGGACATACAGACAGACAGATTACATTTAAACCTATTTTTCAGATAGCGAGTCAGGACAATCAATCTCTGGCCGCAATTATAACCAAGCTGCCCTCCGTACGAAAGCCATGTAAGACTTTTATCAGCTCTGTCTCTGTCAAGTCTGTCCCAAATAAGTCTGTCTTCCTCAAGTCATTCTCTCTTATTTCTGTCTTTTTCAAGTCTATCTCTCTCAATTGTGTCCCTTCAAGTCTGTCTGTATCTATTATGTCACCATCAAGTCTTCTCTATCTATTATGTCACCATCAAGTCTGTCTCCATCACGTCACAAGTTAGTCTCTCAATCAAATTTGTCTCCACTAATTCTGTTTCCATGAAGTCTATCTCCTTCAAGTCTATCTTCAAGAAATCTGTCTCCAATTAAGTCTGTAGCTCCACCGTGACTGTCTCCGTTAAGTCTGTTTCTCCAGAAAGTCTGTCTCTCCATCAATTATGTATCCACAAAGTCAGTACGCTTGTCTCTACCTTTCTTAACATGCTAGTGATGAAGATGATGATAGTGGTGGTGGTGGTGGTAGTTGTTGTAGTGGAGATGGTTGTTTTGAGGATGATGATGATGAGGGTTAGTGGTTGGTGTAGTGGCGAAGACGATGATAATAATGATGAAGACGCGCCAAAGACTAATTTCTCTAAATGAATATTAAATGTTGAATTTAGAATCGACATCATAGCCCTTAGGACACTCCCAGAAGCGCTCCGTCCCCACCTCCAGCAGCAAGAGAAGAGTTCCAGTTCAGAAGGCACAAGTAACTGTCAAATTCTAAGTTAGTAAATAAATGTTACTCCACCAGGACATCCAACAGAGCGCTAAACATCTGGTGACTCAAGGTGCCACCACGCGGATGGGGATCACTCGTGGTGAGGTCCCGGAAACTGCGTTGACCTGTCAGGTTATGTAACGAAAAATTGCATCCTTCAAGGGGGGTGTCGCAGATTTTATAATTACTGTGTGATTGTTTAATTTCCCTGTTAAAATATTTGTTTGAAATGAATTCTGTCCGTATTCCATAGTTGTGGATTTCAAGCTGTACGATAGACATGGCAAATAAGACACTTTTTTGGGGGGTGCCTAGTTGACCATGTTCTTAGTACATTTGTATTCATGGCGTTTGGAGGTGACAGGTTCAATTCTCGGCACGGTAACTATAGCTTTCTATTTTTTGTGTGTTGGTCTAGCGTGTTCTTCTATCCTTCTACTCCTTTCTATGAGTGCCGATCAATACACTTTGTGTTACTGTATCAAGGAAAGCGTGCGCCTGTCCGTTTGCAGATAGCTCGACGCCATTGAAGCTGCCACCAATGGCCTGTTTGCTGCCCGATAACCTGCACGACTTCTATCAGTACTCGGACGCCTCTATGTCTGTCTACCCCCGCATTATCTGGACCGTCTTCAAAGACACCATTAAAATATCCGAGTCTCAGGTATCTACCTCATCATCATCATCATCGTCATCATCATCACTACCATCATTTTTGTCGTTATTATTATTATCATCATCTAGAGGCGTCGATACAAAGATACCATTCTGGGTACGCAGCACTTTGGAACCTTTTTCTTCTTTTTCTGACCTTCTAGCCCCCAATGGAGTATAAGCCGTCAACCAGCTCACGATCAGTTGTTCTATCCTTCGCTATTGCAAGCAGCTTTTTCCATGCCCTCTCCATCTTTTTAACTTCACTCTATAGATCCCTTATCCATGTGTTCTTAGTCCCTTACAACTGATATCCATTTAGCTATCTTTTTCATGTGTTGTTAGTCCCTTACAACTGATATCCATTTAGCTATCTTTTTCATGTGTTGTTAGTCCCTTACAACTGATATCCATTTAGCTCCCGTCTCCAAGTGTTGTTAGTCCCTTACAACTGATATCCATTTAGCTCCCTTCTCCATGTGTTGTTAGTCCCTTACAACTGATATCCATTTAGCTATCTTCTCCATGTGTTGTTAGTCCCTTACAACTGATATCCATTTAGCTATCTTCTCCATGTGTTCTTAGTCCCTTACAACTGATATCCATTTAGCTATCTTCTCCATGTGTTCTTACTCCCTTACAACTGATATCCGTTTAGCTATCTTCTCCATGTGTTCTTAGTCCCTTACAACTGATATCCATTTAGCTATCTTTTTCAAGTGAACAAACATGACGACTACTACAACAATAATAATATTTATAATAATAATAATAATAATGCTAAATAGCAAATAAATATGACACATAATATAGGGTGTATTATCGTCATTAGTTCTATTTATGCCTTTTGTCACATGAGACTTAAGAGAGGTCTTTTCATGCTCACCTCTCCTGTGCAATCTTCAGTGCAGTTTTCCATGTCAGAGATGCCGCACTCCGGTCACTTTCCATCGTTCGTCTCCATGTTTTGTTGTTGTTGTTTTTTTTGGGCGCCCCTGTTTTCTCTTTCCCTCTGGTGCCCACGTGAGAGCTGTTTTGGCAGGTGTATCAGGATTCACTCTCATGACGTGGCGCGACCATTTCCATCTTCTCTTGGTTATCATATTGTCAAAAGTTTTCTTGGTTTATGACTTGAAGTAGTTTAGTGTTTGAGATTGTACCTGAATAGAGGGTTGTTGGTACATGTTTAATTACTGTACACATTGTTTAATCAATTATTTGTGCACTGTAATTAAATATGTGACTTACCTGACCTTTCAAGTACCGCGTAACCGTTATTTTATAATATCACTGGTATATAATGATTTTTTAGTCATTGATCTTAGCTATAATGGTGTTGGGAGTCGCCACGGCGTTGTCGGCTAGACGCCCGCCTGCGGATCGGAAGGTCGTGGGCTCGCTTTATGACAGAGGCGGATTGTTTGTCAAAATGACCTTGACTCCCAGGTCGACCCAGCCTTGAATGGGTACAAGGTGTGGTCATGGGAAGTAAAGGCGGCCGGAAGGATGCTAACAACATCACCCACCAAGTGCTGATTGGTCAATAAAAATAGAGATCTAGTACTACATTTCCAATACGCCTAAAGGCGTAGAAAAGTACTTTTCTTTATAATGGTGTTAACTATTTAAAAAAAGAGTATTTGTTGAATGTTCAATGTTGAATTAAGAATGGACATCACAGCAATATTGTTCCCGTCTCCTTTAACGACAGACGCTGTTATCTCTTTACAATGCACAGAGTCTGAAGCACAGGCGACGATCACATACGTACTTACGCACGTACACCAGAATCATTATCGTCTGCGTTCATCCTAAAAGGGCTGTTGACATGTTGTTTTGAGGTTTACAGCTAGGCTGAGATATAGCTCTCTTTGGGTCCGATACATCCGATTTTAGAAACTCCTAATTGGTCGGTTTTTACAAAACGCTTTTAACGAAAAAGAGGTTTCATTCTCTCGCCCCCACCCCCGCGCCAACCCCACCCCACCACCCCTCCAAGTTAAACCCCCAGAGCCCACACAAAGATACAACTATCACACTTATTATAGATGCCTCTGGCCTGTGTTCGCTTTCTGTAGTCAAAATTTACCTGACTAACATCCAGTCTGTCTGTCTGTCTGTCTGTCTGTCTGTCTCTCTGACCTCCATTTTCTTTTAAAACTAGTCTTATGCAACCATCTGGTTCCATACTTAAAGGGGATAAGGCATCCGGCCTGCCTTGTTTTACTGATGTTGGTCTGCCTTGTTATACTGATGTTGGTCTGCCTTGTTATACTGATGTTGGTCTGCGTTGTTATACTGATGTTGATCTGCCTTGTTATACTGATGTTGGTCTGCCTTGTTATACTGATGTTGGTCTGCCTTGTTATACTGATGTTCTTCTGCCTTGTTATACTGATGTTGGTCTGCCTTGTTATACTGATGTTGGTCTGCCTTGTTATACTGATGTTGGTCTGCCTTGTTATACTGATGTTGGTCTGCCTTGTTATACTGATGTTGGTCTGCCTTGTTATACTGATGTTGGTCTGCCTTGTTATACTGATGTTCTTCTGGTCTGTTATAACTGATGTTGGTCTGCCTGTTATGTGAATGTTGGTCTGCCCTTGTTATACTGATGTTGGGTCTGCCTTGTTATACTGATGTTCTT